AATTTTTTTAAAAAAAAAAAGGGTTTGGGGAAAAATTTTTTAAAAAAACCCCCCTTTTTGGGAAAAAAGGGGGGAAAAAAAAGAAAAAAATTTTTTAAAAAATTTTTTTTTTTAAAAAAGGGGGGGCCCCCCCTTTGGGAAAGGGGAAAAAAAAAAACCCAAAATTTTCCAAAAAAAAATTTTTTGGGCAAATTTTTTTAAAATTTTTTCCCTTTTCCTTTTTCCCCCCCCCCGGGGGTTTTTTTTCAAAGGGTTTTTAAAAAATTTTTTTTAAAATATTTAAAAAAAAAAAAAAAAATTTTTTTTTTAAAAAAAATTAAATTTTTTTTAATTTTCCCCCCCTTTTTTTAAAAAAAAAAAAAAATTTTTTGGGAATAAAAAATTTTTTTGGGGGAAAAAAAAAAAAAGGGGCCTTTAAAAAAAAAAAGGGGGAAAAAACCTTTCCCCCCGGGGGAAAAAAAAAAAAAATTTTTAAAAATAAAAAAAAAAATTAAAAAAAATTTTTTTAAAAAATTTTAAAAAAAAAAAATTTTTTTTTCCCCCCTTTTAAAAAATTTAAAAAAAAATTTTTTTTCCCCCAAAAAAATTTTAAAATTAAAAAAATTTTTTTCCTTTTTTTTTTTTTGGGGGGGAAAATTTAAAAGGGGGGGCCCAAAAAAAGGGGGTTTTTTCCCCCTTTTTCCCGGTTTTTTTTTTAAAAAAAAAAAAATTTCCCAATTTCCCAAAAATTTTTTGGTTTTTGGTTTTTTTCCCCCCTTTTTTTTTTTCCGGGCCCCCCCCAAAAAAAAAAAAAAAACCCCCCCCCTTAAAAATTTTTTTTTTTTTTAATTTTAAAAAAAAAAAACTAAAAAACCCCAAAAAAAATTAATTTTTTCCCCTTTTTTTTTTTTTTTTTTTTTTTTTTTTTTCCCTTTTTGGGGTTTTTTTTTTTTAAAATTTTCCCCCTTTCTTTTCTTTTCCCCCAAAAAAAAATTTTTAAAAAAAAACCAGAAAAAAAAAATTTTTAAAAATTAAATTTTTAAAAATTTTTTTTTAAAAAACCCCCCCCAAATTTTCCCCCCAAAAAAAAGGTATAAAAATTTTTAAATTTTTTTAAAAAAAAAAAAACCATGGTTTTACCTTTTTAAAAAAAAAAAATTTTAAATTTTTAAAAATTTGAAAAAAATTTTTTAATTTTAAATTTAAAATTTTTTTTAAATAAACCCCCAAAAAAATTTTTTTTAAAAAAAAAATTTTTTCCTTTCCCAAAAAAAAAAAAAAAATTTTTTTAAAACAAAAAAAATTTTCCCCCAAAAAAAGGAAAAAATTTTTTCCCCCCCTTTTTTTTTTTTAAAAAACCCAAAAATTTTTTAAATTTAATTTAAATTTTTTTGGGATTCATTTAAAAAAATTTTTTGGGAAAAAAAAAAAATTTTTTTTTTTAAAAAAATTTTTTAAAAAAATTTTTTCCTTTGGGGGAAAAAAAAAAAAAACCCCCCAAAAAAAAAAAAATTTTTTTTTTTTTTCCAAAAAAATTTAAAAAAAAATTTTTTTTTTTTTTAAAAAAATTAAAACCCCCCTTTAAATTTTTTTTTTTTCCCCCCTTTTTTTTTTTCCCCTTTTTTTTCCCCTTTTTTTTCCCTTTTTTTTTAAAATAAAAAACCGGAAAATTTTGGGGGAAAAATTTTGGGGGGGGAATTTTAAAAAATTTCCCAAAAAAAAAAAAAAAAGGAAAAAAAATTTATTAAAATACAAATTTTTTAAATTTTTTAAAAAAACAAAAAAGGGGTTTTTTTTTTTTTAAAAAAAAAAAAAATTAAAAGGGTTTTTAAATTTTTGGGGGAAAAAAAAAATTTTAAAAAAAGAAATTTTTTTTTCCCTTTAAAATGAAAAAAAAAAAATTTTTTTTTTTTTAAAAAATTTTTTCCTTTTTTTTTTTTTTAAAAAATAAAAATTTTTTTTGTTTAAAAAAAATTTTTTCCTTTCCCCCAAAAAAAACCCCCCCCTTTTTTCCCCCGGGCCCAAAAAAAATTAAAATTTTTTTAAAAACCCCCCAGCCCCCGGGGGGAAAAAAAAATTTTTTTTCCCCCCCCTTTTTTTTTAAATTTTAAAAAATTTTTTTTAAAAATTTTAAAAAAGGTTTTTTTCCCTTTTTTAAAAAAAATTTTTTTTTAAACCCCTTTTTTTCCCTTTTTTTTTGGTTTTTTCCCCCTTTTTTTAAAAAAAAGGGGGGGTTTTTTTCCCAAAGGCCGAAAAAAAAATTTTTTTTAAAAAAAAAAAAAAATTTTTTTTTTTTTTTATCCAAATTTTTTTCAAACCCCCTTTTCCCCCCTTTTTTTTAAAAAAAAAAAAAAAAAAAAAAAAAAACCCTTTGGGAAAAAAAAAAATTTTTAAAAAAAATTTTTTTCCCTTTTTAAAAAATGGTTTTTTTCCCCCCAAAAAAAAGGGTTTTTCTTTTAAAATTTTTTAAAAACCCTTTTTTAGGTTTTTTTTTTAAAAAAGGGGGGGTTTTTTAAAAAAACCCCCCCTTTTTAAAAATTTTTTTTTTAAACCCCTTTTTTTTTTGGGAAAATTTTTAAAACCAAAAAAAAGGGGGGAAAAATCCCCCAAAAAAAAAAAAAAATTTTTTGGAAAGGGAAAAAAAAAACAAGGGGGAAAAAAAAATTTTTGCCTTTTTTTTTTTGATAAAAAATTTTTTTTTTTAAAATTTTTAAATTTGGGGGAAAAAAACCTTTTTTTTTTTTGGAAAATTCCTTTTAAAAAAAAAAAAAAAAAAAAAATTTTCCCCCCCTTCCCCCGGGGGGGAAAAAAAAAAAAGGGGTTGGAAAATTTTAATTAAAGGGGTTTTTAAAAAAATTTTTTTTTTTAAAAAAACCCCCGGGGGAAAATTTTTTTTTAAAAAAAATTTTAAAGGGGAAAAAAAAATTTCCCCGGGGGTTTTTTTAAAAAAATTTCCCCCCTTTTTTTAAAAAAAAAGGAAAAAAAAACCCAAAAAAAAAAAAAGGGGGGGGGGGGGAAAAAAAATAAACCCAAAGGGGGGGAAAAAAAAAAAAAACCCCAAAAAAATTTTTTTTAAAAATTCCCGGAAATTAAAGGTTTTTTTTTCCCCAAATTTTTAAAATTTGACCAAAAAATTTTAAAAAAAAGGGGTTTTTTCCCCGGGGAAAAAAAAATTTTTCCAAAACCCAAAGGGGCTTTTAAAGGGGGGAAAAAAAACCCCCAAAATTTTTATTTTAAAACCAAAAAAAAAAATTTTTTTTTAAAACAATAGGGGTTTTTTTTTTTAAAAAAAAAATTTTTTGGGGGGGCCGGGGGAAAAAAAAAAGGGAAAAAAAAAAAGGGGGGGGGGGGAAAAAAAAGGGGGGGGGTTTTTTTTAAAATTTCAAAACCCAAAAAAAATTTTTTTTTTTTTAAAAAAAAAAAAAAATTTTATTAAAACCCCTTTTTTTCCCCCAATTTTTTTTTTTTAAATAATTTTTTTTTTTTTTAAAAAATTATATTATTAAGCATTTTAAATTAAAAATTTATTTTTTTTTAAAAAAAAAAATTTTTTTTCCCCAAATTTTTTTTTAAAAAAAATTTTTTTTTAAAAAAATTTTTTTTTTTTTTTAAAATTAATTTAAAAAAAACCCCCCCCCCTTTTTTTTAAGTTTTTTTTTTTTTTTTTTTTTTTTTTTTTTTTTTTTTTTTTAAAATTTTTTTTATTGTATTAAAAATTGGGTTAGAATTTTTGGGTTTTTTTTTTTTTTTATTAAAAAATTTTTTTCCTTTTTTTGGGGTTTTTCCCCCCCCCCCAAAATTTTTTAAAAAAAAAGGGGAAAAAAAAAAAAATTAAAAAAAACCCAAAAAAAAAGGGGTTTTGGGTTTTTTTTTTAAAAAATTTTTTTTTTTTAAAAAAAATTTTTTTTTAAAATTTTTCCCTTTTTTAAAAAAAAAAATTTGGGGTGGAAAAAAATTTTTGGGGGAAATTTTTTAAAAAAAGGGAAAATTTTAAAAAAAAAACCCCCGAAAAAACTTCCAAAAATTTTTTTTTTTTTATTTTGTATTTTTAAAAATTTCCCCCCCTTTTAGGAATCCCAAAAATTTTTTTTTTTTTTTTTTAAAAAAATTTTTAAAACCCCCCCTTTTTAAAACCCCCTTTTTTTAAACTTATTTTTTTAAAAAACCCCAAAAAAAAATTTTTTCCAAAAGAAAAAAAATTTTTTAAAGGTTTTTTTAAAATTTTTAAAATTTTAAAAAGGGGCCCCTTTTTAAAAAAAAATTTTTAAAAGGGGTTTTTTTTTGGGGGGGGAAAACCCCTTTTTTTTTAAAAAAAACCCCCCAAAAAAAAAACCCAAATTTTTTTCCAACCCCCCTTTTTTTTTTAAAAAAAAAAAAAAAAAAAAAAAAAAAAAAAAAAAAAAAAAAAAAAAACCAAAAAATGGTGTAAAAAAAAAAATTTTTTTTTTTTTAAAAAACCTGGAAAAATTTTTTAAAAAAATTTTAAAAATTTTTTTTTTTTTTTTTTTTTTAAAATTTTTTTAAGGGAAAAAATTTTAAAGGGGTTTTGAATATAATGTTTAATTAAATGATTCACAATGTTATCTTAACGACGAAAAAATATGGATACTTAAAGTTCCTTTTGAACATGAATGTGAATTTATATAGGACCTCGTGTTGTGCATATCCTTATGGGGATGCTATGGAAAGATGAAAGATCTTCAAAATAATAAAGGATCTGTCAATGAAAGGGATGTTCAGTACGTTGTGAATGTTTTTCATAATATCCTGTCGCTACTGTTAATATGATATAATTACATCTACTGTTAATCTGTTACGATTAACGTTGATATTTGTGATCTTAATTGTCACAACTGTTATAATTGTTGTTTAGTACTTGTATGTGTTATCTTTAAAATCCTTCATCTATTCTTAGAAAAAAAGGTATTGGATACAGCAGATCTGTTTACCTAAATTTTATAGCTATCTACTGTGATGGCATTATCTTTAACAAAAAATGTAAAGTATTAAGTTTGTTTTGAATTTTATTTCGGTTACAGCGACGTCAGTGGTTGGAGAATGCTATTACTGACATGACAGTTAGTCCAGTTGAAAGAATGAAGGCTTGCTTGCAAATTCTGACTTCACCAGACAGTGATGACAAGAAAATTATTGCAGCTATAGAGGAAACAGCAGAATGGTGTGAAACAATAGACTTTGCTTCTGGTATGTATTAGCCTCCTTTAGTTAAATTTTTCTCAGATGTTTATTTTGAATTTTCAGGTTTTAAAAAGTATGTTTGGAAAATGAAATTGAAAATTTTATTGAGAACAAGGTAATTGAGACTTTGTGTATAAAATATGATTAAATTTTGCTTGTCTTAGTCCGCAATTCTTTCTTTTATTTTACAGATTTCTACAAGATCGGTGGATACCCAGTAATTAAAGTATTACTAAAACACAAGACACCAGAAGTTAGGTGGAGGACCCTGGATTTGATAGCAATATTGGTTCAGAACCACCCTTTCTGTCAGGTGAAAGCACTGGAAGAAAACTGGCTGACTCTGATGCTAGATATTCTGGATAAAGATGAAGACCCAAATGTGAAAATAAAAGCTCTGTATGCTATATCATGTAAGTGTAGCAAGGATAAGGAAGTATTGATTCAGTATTCTTATCAATCTGTTCAAAAGGGCTTTTTGTATCTGTGAAATTTTCAGTTTGTTCTCATTGCTGATCCTGTTGAGATAGGGGGAAAATTTTTAGAGACCTTGTGATTAAAAATCAAATTTGATGGAGGAAAATATTAGCAGTTTTTAAAGATGTTATATGTTTTTAAAGTTCAAATGTGAGATTTTGAATGATTTTTCAGGCCTTTCAAGAGACAATGTTGAAGCCCAGAAAATCTTCGAAAGGCATGATGGTTTCTCTGTGCTGATGAGGGCCATGCAGACAGACATAGAAAAACTAAGAATCAAGGCAGCGTTTATGCTATCAGCATTGTGTGCCAAGAGGCCAGATTTTAAAGGTATAGTCTCAGTAAATAACAATTTTACTCAGATCATTCTGAAGTGAAATCTTGAGAAAATGTGGCAGTTTTTTACCCCTTCCATTAAATAAAGCATGATACATGTATTCCCCATCAAATAATAATACGGTACGGTAACAGATTTTTTGTCATAAAAAAGATCCTTGAGGATATTGGCTATGACTAGTGCCTATAGTGGGTGACCATTTTCAGGTGTTGAAAGGCACTTGTTTAGGGAATCCAAGTTTCTATTTGTATTTAGAATCTATCATTATACCTGTATGTTAATACATGTATTCTTTTACTTTGCAGATGTGATGTGTGACACTGGAATGATTGACCAGTTAGTTGGAGTTTTAAGTGAGGAGCACAATTCATTTCACGAACACAACCTGTCAGCCCTTCTGGCTATAGTAACGGACCATCAGAGGGCTATAGAGGAATGCCAGAGGCCTGAACTGGAGCTGGAAAAGAAATTACAGGAGCGGATCAAGTTTCTGAAGGACAAGGATGAATTCAGGGTTAATGTCAACTTTTTTAGAAATTTTAAAATCAACATTAAATTCTTATTTAGGGTATGTGTCAAGAAACTTCTAATAGATGAATTTAACGTGCATTGCTCTTGTGTTTGTTCAGATACATGTACATTGTTTTCATTGGTAGTTTTTCTGGATAAACACGAGATTGAAACAATACTTTATGTGTACTTAAAAAAAAAAAGCGGATTTCATATTTTTACGGCTTTGGCGCGGACAACAATGCACTAATTCATGAATACCATAAAAATTTATACATACAATTTAAAGCGTGGACATGTTTAGCACTAATTCATGATTGCAATAACCACTCACTACCCAGTGATTGTGCTAATTTTGAATATGCCAATTTATGTACATGCACAGTATATCTTTTCTTCTGTGAATTGTGATGAAAATTTGTGGTATTTCTGTCCATTTGATTCCATGTACATGAAAGTACCATTATTACAGGTAATACCCAGTTTGATTTGAACAGTAGCAAACAGTTTGATTTCAACAATATCAACTAGTTTGATTTCAACAATATCAACTAGTTTGATTTCAACAGTATCAACTAGTAGTATGGATTCAACAGTACTTTGAACAGTACCAACCATCTTTTCAGAAGATTCTTGTCCCTACCATTGGAAACATTATCAGAAACTTCCACTTTATAGCTTGGGAAGGCTATTGGAACTTGCCAGGAGTATACATTCCTAGGTGTGGCAGTGTGTCAACTAAGCTTCCCAGCCCAATTTGTACTATCAAGGGTTTGACCTGATTGCAAAAAAATTATGATCCTAAAACTGATGTCTTGTTTATTAACATTTTTTTTTGATTGTAGGAAGAAAGTCATTATGCGAAGGAGTTGCTGAGAATAATATCAACTGATGATGATGAACTTCAAAGGTGAAAAGGCAAGAAAGAAAATGGACAGATGACAGAGGAAAATGACCCAGATCCAACTTGACAGATTCTTTTCCCCTTGTTCTTTTGAAGAAGGGGACATGCATGCAGTTCACTTGTTTGTTTATGCTTGCATCATGTAACATGGTCATCTATTTTGAAAGTCATTGTAAGAAATGTTATAACTTCTTATGGTCATACTTGCTAGTGGGTAATTTGAGTGATATTTGGGTAAGGAGGAAATACATGTACTCCAAATCAATAATGGGACAATAAGACTAGTTACTTTAACTTGAACAGTAATTTGTAGTAAACTTGGGAAGAAGCTGTGCTTGTTTTAATTAAGAGCTTCTGAACAAGCAGTAATTAGGGAGGAATAACCCACTACGTTGTGCCATTGATTTGGCCCTCCCCCCCCAAAAAAAGTATAAAAGGAAGATTGTTCCCATCATGTTTCAAGGTATATATATATATATATATATATATATTTATCATATGTTTAACTGGTGTCTTCAAAGATATAGAAGTGTAAGATTTTAAGCTTGTCATTTGAAATGAAGTGCAATTATTTAAAGACATTAATTTATCCAGTATTGGTGAAAGTGATTTTATTGTGTACATTTCAGTCTTTGTTGTCTATATTTAAATTAATGTATTATTAATGTTTTTTAATGGCTTTGTTGGTCAACCTT